CCCCCCCCCCCCCCCCCCCCCCCCCCCCCCCCCCCCCCCCCCCCCCCAAGCCATTCCTGTCTACCTGCCAGTATGTTCTGGTCTTTTGGTGCCCGCTGGGCTCCTTATCAAAGCCGCTTTCAGCATAGATCTATGTGGGACCTTCGTAAAAATCACAGTCTTTCACCGTCAATTAAACCACGCTGCCGTGTCTGTTAACTTCCTCTGGTTTTATCCTTTTGTCTCTGTCCTTGGAAGTCTGTTCTGCATAGGACAGTTTTTGGTGAAAGACAGAGAGGGACAGAGATTATTGTGAACGTGTTCTTCGTTAAGCGATGAACTTGTTTGCCCATCTTCAACAAGCACAAAAACATGGATATAGTTTTGAGGACATCTGAGTGTTTGCAGGCTTGGCTCAGTATTTCATTTGTTGTTCTCTCTCTTTCAGCACTGTAACAATATTTGTTGAAAGATTTATGCAAGGCATTTGGATAACAGTTGCCTTTGCTTCATGACTGACAAAAGTGTGAAACACTGATGGAGCTGCATCATCTCGGCTACTTGGGAACTCTTGGTAACTAATCAGTTAGACACGATTTTTGTTCTGAAGAAGTAATACGTTTCAAGTTAAAAATCAACCTGCTACATCCTGCTTCCCTTTTCTTGTTGATTGAGGAAGGTGGTTTTGTTGCACATGCTTGCAAGTTAAATGATCCTTCCAGCTAATAGTCCCAGCAGACTCCATATGTCAATTGTAAACTCCCTAACAGCCCTTACCATTTATTTTTCCAGTATGACATTGATTTGCCAACTTTTTTCATTAAGGTCACAGAAGTTAAACTAGAATTCATGCTACTTTTCTGATCACCTTACAGTCAGGTAGAGAGACAGAGAAGGTCTTTTACTGTATTGGAGTTTAGTATCTTATACAAAGTACAGTGATACTATTTTAATATTCAAAATCATGTCAGTCAACTGCTTATGTGTAAATTCAAAAAACTTGAAAGCGAAGAAAAATGACTTTGAACACTTGTGTTTGTGCACACTATTATTCAAATGTTACAATATATAGCATGCATATCAGATACATTAGCAGTTTAGACATTTTGTAATTGTATCTTGACTGAAGTTAAAAGTATTCCAACTACTTTAGAAACCAGGAAGGACATGGTAGACCCTCTTCTCAGCATACAGAGCCTTGCTTTATGTTAAAATAACATCAATGTCATTTTCATTTAATTTCATTTAAGAAAATGTATTAATCACTCTTATTTTATTCTGATAGAGGACAAGGTATCTCATTATTTTCTGTTGGAGTGTTGTCTCACACAGTGGTGCCAAACACACATACAAGCAAACAAAACAAAGAGAGAAACAAAAGAGTAAAGGAAGCCTCAGGAAGTTCCAGTTGTCCTTTCTTTGCCGAAATTCCCCGTAATTAAAATCATACAAACATTCGATGTAACTTCTCAAAAAATCAGAGTGCTCCCCGAGGTCAACAACAAAGCTCGGGCCTTATGTGAGTGTCAGATGTGGCAGCAGATTGCTTTGTGGTGTCTTGCAAGCAAATGTTTGGGCTCTGAGCTCAGTGCCAGAGCAGACGCAAGCATAATGTGTTTCTTTGTTAAATGTCATAACGTGCAATCTCTCACTGTTTTACAGTGTGCATCTTTGATTCTCAGGACGCAATTAAAACTATTTCAACTTTGTAACATATAATGACGATTGGATTAATGGATTGGTCAGGGTGCAAACCACTGCTTAACTTCTATTTACATCGATCAGAAACAGGTACAAGAACACTTTTGGAGAAAAAACGACTAATGCTTGTGGCTATGTTCAACTCTGTCACCCAAATATGACTTTCCTCTACATTGAAACAGCATTGTCAATTACTTTTCAAGGGAAAGTATTTTCTCCTGGATTGAATTTCTTTCTGTTGTAGATAAGTTTCTAATTATATCCCGCATAGGGAGGATGTTTGGGTGGACAGGCGGGAAAAACAAACACACTGTTTGTGACCCGTGTGAAACCAATTTCAATTGGCGTTCGTAATTTAAATAACTTAACAAACATATACATTTTAAGCCAAACCATGATGTTTTTACTAAACCTTACCAAGACGTTTTGTTGTTTTTTTGCTTTGTTTCACTTGACAACGTTAACCACGTGTTTAAAACGACAGTAATCCTGGAAAAAATACATTTCCCTCTAAATGTAATGGAAAGTGCAGTTTAGTTGTACGGTAACGTCATTTTGCAGGAGACAGGGTTGCTCTGTGAGGCACAGTAGTAGTTTGAGCTGAATGCTAACACAGCTTAGTTTTTAGCCTGTTAACATGCTAACATTTGCTAATTAACACTCGACACAAACCACAGCTGTGGCTGATGGGAATGTCATTAGTTTTGCAGGTATTTGGTCCAAAACCAAAGTATTGGACAAATTAGAAATGTGACATGATGATGGTGCCAGAGGATCAAAATTCATCCTCAGGGGAACATGAGTGTCTGAACCAAATGTCCTGGCGAGCTGTCTAATAATTGTTGTCACATTTCACTCAAAGCCACAAATGTGATCCTCATGGTGATGTTAGAGGAGAAGTCAGGCGATCAACATAGTCGTTAGGACTCATCCTCTGGGGACCATGAAGTTTCACCTTTAATCAATCACAACAGTTGAAGAGATATTTCAGTCTGGACTTGTGTGGGTGTGCCCTGAGCTGAGAACACCACTCTGTGAGCCAGGCACCCAAGGAGGATGTTCTCAAGTGGAGGAACCTAATCTTTCCCAGCAGGAATCCAAGCGGCTCTGTAAGTGTATGAATAGAGATAATATCTCTATAATGAGGCCTGTTTTGTACCATCAAAGTCTTCAAAAGGGTCTGAAACCCGACCTCCCTCCTAGCACTGACAATCCCTCAGTAATAGCTCCCTATTATTAATTGTTTCGCCTGCCTGCTAAGTCTTTGTCTCTCTTTTTCTCCCTCTTGCTCTTGCAGTTGTGTTTTAGCTCACCCATGACCTCGTGCTTTTAAGAGTGCTGACATTCTGCCAGTTTGTAACTCAGTGTTAGGGAGGTGTTTGTTTTTTTTAAACGAAACTGTTTCCAGACAACAATCTACTTTCTCTTTATTGTAGATGCTAAACTGGAAGGAGTTACTGCCCTCGCATAAGGAAATTATCTCACACGTATTATTCGTTGGGAGTGAATCCTCATAATTTCAGCTATTATGCAATTCCTCCTTTCAGCGCGTCCAACACTGCCTGTGTTGTTGCGTCAGAGTCGACACACAGGTGTGCTTGATATCTTTGAGCTGTGTGCTGTGGTTGGCTGACAAACGTGGTTGAAGGAACTGACCAGACCACCGCAACTCAGCCCCGTTTAGGACGCGGCCCTTTGCCTATCCTGCTCTATGACCATTGTCTATTGTCAGCGGCATTATGATAAGTGGGTCGTCTATCTGATGCTGTCAAGAGTTCTGAGAGATCCAGCCTCCCAGTTCTCCCAGCAAGCAGAGATCCAACTTGTCTGATAGTGTTTGATGAGAAGAAAAAAAAAGACTCTTCAGGGGTGACTTAGCATCTGCGCGTTGCTAATCTGATGTATCAGAAGCCAATTACAGAGGACACACGGACAGGAACAGGACGGCGGCGGTCAGGACAATGAAAAAAGCACTTTAAAAAATCTTTGCTGACTCAGCATTTCTTCACTCTCCCTAGCTTTGTCTGAACGCTGAGGTTGACATAGCGTCATTGAAGTTTGAAGTATAGGCCTACATAATCCTTTCAAATTATTCTATTAGCATGCACTTGTAAGTAGTAGCATGACACATCTTAAGACATTTTAACTGTCTCTCTAATTGACTCCGTCTTCAAATGCAGTAAGAGCTCTGTGAGTCACAGCAGTCCGGTAAAGGCCCGTGCAGAAGCCCAAAGGATCATTCTGATGTCTGTCTCCAGCTGTAATGGACAGTAATGGACATAAAGTGTGTGATGTGATGAGTAATATTTCATAATAATGTTTGAGTCAGTGCTGCGGAAGTTAATAGAAGGCTGTAAAAAAGTGCAGCTTGAGCCCAAAAGTGTGATTTTTAAAAAGAAAAAAAAAAGTTTTAATAAAGTTTTCAAATTCAGCTCTGAGTATGGCCTCTCGGATGTCTCATGTGGAGTCTCTCACGTGGGTAGTTCCTTAAGAAGCAGTTTTATTTTACACAGGTCACTAATTCCATGTAAGTGGTGCACACACACACACACACACACACACACACACACACACACACACACACATACACACACATACACACAAGAGACTCAGACTCACACACAAACACATGCCAAAGGCTTTTACCAACACAAGCATCTCACACAGAAGTATCTCCATCAAAAAACAGCCCTCTCTCCATCTGTTAAACAAATAGGGAGCCCCTACAAAGGTGTGCAAAAGAGTCCGCATGATCAAAGTGTGTGAGAATGGCAGCCTTGTCCTGGCCTGGCCATTATCAGGCCCCATGAATGCCTGTCTTCTCCTCTTTTGTCGGTCGAGGCATTGACAGTCACTCACCCGGCAATGACTGTCACACCAGCGCAAAGAGCCAGCCGCCGACAGGGGCCAACCACATCAAACGAGGCTGTCAAGGGGCCCTGCTCGTGAACCGTGGCAACAAACACCTCCTGATCCTCACCTACAGCTCAGCAGCAGACACCCACCGCTGTGCTCTCAGCCACTGCCTCCACTGAGAAAAGATGTACTGCCTGGACCCCC